TTTGAATCAAGATGAATTCTTTACTGGTTGATTACAATTGTTGGTAAAAAAATAATATATTAACATGACAAATTTGTCTGATTAAAAAGAATCTGCATTCTCACATTCTACATATTGGTTTAAAATTCTCAGATAAAATTCAACCCATAGAGGAACCCCATTATTAAGGAATTAATCATGCACTACATGGACAAAAGTTGGGCGCACTTTTAAACAAAAATTTTGTAGCCTAAGTTTTCATAATTTTTTACAAATTTTCTAAAAAAATAAAAAATTCGCCCAAAAATTTCTCCCAAAAATATTTCTAACAAAATTTTCAAAGAAAAACGTATTTAATAATAAAAATGTCTTGAATAAGTAAAGTATCCATGTTGTTTTGAATCTTTTTGTAAGCAAGCATCATTTTAATTCTTTTGAAGATTTTAAACTCGAAATGTCAGCTTTAAATGAAAGCAGCATAGTGAAATCATCAGTTTATAAAAGAATAATGTTACCAAACCACAAATAACTAAAATTGTTGATGGTTCATGGAAATGCAGTAATTCGCACTATTCAAAGATACATTGACATTATTGCAAAAAATCAAAAAGAATGGTAAATTACAAATGATATCCTAATAATCGAGTATGCCAAGATTATCGAAAATAATGTGCGGCCAACTTTCCAATATTTTCAAGCAGCAGTAAATTGTATCGCTTTTGTTTATTAATAAACAGTGTATATAGAAAGCCATAGTTATCTGTTTTTATTTTTTTCATTTATTCAAAATATCTGATTGGATCTGGTTAATAATTTTATTATTATTATTATCATTTCAACATATTATTTTTTGATACAATATTTAAAACAGTAGTTACAAGTTTGTAACCAAATATGATGTAAGGTTAGCAAAGATACCTGGGATTTTTAATTGGACCAAAAATTTGCACGCAGTTGGAATGTTAAAAACAAAAATAAATATATATTTATGAAAACAATCATTTCAAATATAATGGCAAAATTTTGGAAAAAGTGATAATGAAAAGTGATGAAATAGAATTGAAATATTGTTAGAAGCAGAAAAAACCCTCAAAAAAGCATCAGTTATTAATTTTACTTTAATTTGCAATTCGTGATAAACAGAAAGAAAATAGCGAAAAAATAATGGTCGCGTTTACTTTGTCGACAATTATTTCGTCGACACCCATTTTGTTTCATCGAAAGTTCATTTCGTCGAATGTTGTTTCGTCGAATGTTCATTTCGTCGAAAATTATTTTATCCTCGAGCCAGAGACCGAACGAGTTAGATGTGAGGAGTGTGGAAAGTTAGTTAATAAATTAGGTGAGGAAAGCGGAGTGTGCGGTAAGTGTGAGGAAAAATTTGTTTAATGAAGTTTTTTTTTTGTGACGAAATAATTTTCGACGAAATGTGTTCATTTCGTCGAAATTAACATTCAACGAAACAAACTTTTGACGAAATGAATCAGACCCATTCTTATTTTTTATTAGTATAGGTATATATAATAATGATTCACTTGGGTGTTTATTTCGGATAAAAATTCATAGAAATAAACTTAGAATACCAAGTAATGTTGTTGGATGGGTGATTTGTGCTTGCAAAGAATCCATTTCATCCAAAGAATTCAAAACTGTTGTTGATGGTGGTGATAAAAATGTAGTCAAGTAATCTGAATTCAGAGAAAAGGATTCTGAATTATAAATAGAAATAATAGTGACGGAAGATTGATTGTTATTTTTTTTTTCCTTGACAATAATATGAGTTTTTACAGTTATCATCATTCACACTTGTCAATTTTTCTTTATGCAATTTTTACTCTGTATTATTTTTTTTCTTATAAATACTAATTATTTATTTTACATGTGTTGTTATATCAATTTCTTTGTATATGTATGTATATACTGTATTTATATTATAATTACATTTTAATCTAAATAAGCGTGGAGCTCCCCTCAAAAGCATCTTTTTGATTTCTGAAATTCGTTCAAGTTATTTGCTTTGTTAAAAAATATTAAATATTAATTCTTTTAATTATAAAAAAAAACATCTCTGGTATTTACAAGCAATTACTTTATTACTCGAGAATTTGGAGAATATTTAGCACACGTTTAGAAATAATGAAAGCATGTTATATTCTTATAATTTTTGAAAGAAAAATTCACCAACTTCAAATTAAAGTTGCATTGAGCCATAGAAAACAAAATCCGAAATACTTTTCAAAATTTACTATTAACAAGCTAAAGAACTAATTAATGTTAAGAAAATTAAGGAATGCTTCATGA